CTCTGCAGTTATGCGCTATGTTCTCTTCAATTTCTTGATCATCATAATCTGATGTTGTGATGTCAAGGTCAAATGACTTTCTGAGAAAAATAGCCAAAGCTCCAGTTCCACTGCCATTGATGGAAAGAATGACCAACATCAGTAGGCAAATACCAAATGCAACTACCTGAAAATTAACATGGACTGATTTGCAAAAGGAATGTTCAAGGTCAACAAATTTATGATACTGAATTGAGTGGAAAAAATGTGACAAAGGAGGCAGAATTTGATCCAATTCGAACCCCAAAAACATTTAAAAAACAATGTCATTCAAATCCAAACTGACTCTGATCTAGTTATCTCAGTGCAACTCAAACCCAAAATAAACTGAGGTTCAAAATAATCTGGACCCAGCCAGACCATAAAAAAAAAAGAAAGAAAAAAGAAAACCTAACTTAAACTCCTTTTTTAACTCAGTAGAAGCAAGCAAACCTGATAGATTTTATCTGAACATGACTTATAGACAAAGATAACTTGATACCTGAGACAATTTACATCCAAAATAAATCTCACCTGATATGGCTACCCAGACAATTTCAAGATGTGAAATGATAACTGTGAGAATCAAACCTAAAAAATCCAAATTTCCTTCTTTGGTTTTTCCCTAGTATATCTTACAGGTGAACCTCGTGTAAAATTATGGATTTGCATGGGTTAACTTGGGTTTGATTGGCTTGTAAAAAATAAGATATCATTTCTGATCTGTCCAAGTTACGTTCCTACTTTAACAACTATGATTTCTTCATCTCAATTGAGTTGAAATTTTGTTCGAAAAATATAATACAAATTGCATGTGCATGAATACACTCACACTCACATGTGCACACATATATATCCTACATACATTATGTATTGGACGGGGATTCAAACTCTAATGACAGCCCAAAGAAATCTGAAACTGTGGGTTACACTTTTCAAAACTAACTTGCCTAAAAGTCAGGATGGTCTCAGGTTCATCTGTTTTGCTTGCCAAACTTGCATTTCATACAGAATGAAAGTTACAAGGCTAGAGCACCAATGAAGCACACACAATATTTCGCAATAAATACAGTTCCAAGAATCAAAATATTAATTCCAAATGACAGATATCTAAATGGAAATATAAAGCTGAAGATAAAAAGTACAAGATAGAGAGAGTAGAATTCTATTGCAAATATTACAAACAGCTGAAAAGAAGGGCTCTACAATGCAATCAAGGAATAGAAGAAAATTAAATGCTAACCCCAAACTCACTATGACTTTAAAACAAGAAAAGAAAGAGGAAAACAAAAATTAAAGGCAAATTTACCTGCCCAACTCAATGCATCTCCGTCCTTTTATGCATGATGGATTTTGAACTAACCATTCTGCAAATGCAAATGTACCAGGCCAGAGTAAGTTAGCATTCAGCTGATGAAAAGAAAATTCTTGGATTATCAGCTCCTGCCCACAACCCAAATCACATAGATAATCAAGTTGTTAGTACGAAAGGGGATAAAATAAAGGAGGGGAATAACAAATACCAACATCAAGAGGTTAGCATTGAAGGACCCCAGAACAAGCAAAAAAGTCAAATCCACAAAAAACAAAGCACACATGGTACTCTATAATACCTAAAAAGCAAGATCTTTCTAGTTTTTTCTTTTTTAAATAATACCTTTCTAACAATTAACTGTTGTTTCATACACAAATGGAATTGCATTACTCCCAGCTTAATTCAATATTAATAGCGATATAACTATAATTTATCCACAAATTATTATCAAATAGAAGTACATGCAGGATATGCAGAGATTAAAAGAAATGAAGCATAGTGTTTGTTTATAGTAAGTGTACCATTCCAGGAAACTGATGCCTCCTCTCGACGTAGCTCAGACTGGTCTCCGTCGTTTGCTCATCTGATAGAGAAGGCAGCTTCGTCATGTATTGATAATTCAAATCAAATTGCGACATAAAGCAAGAGACACTTGAAGTGAACGAAACAGAGAGAGAAGGGAGTACCAGCAGAGGAATCATCATCGTCCCCAGCGAAAAGCGAAGATGGAGAGAAGAGAGCTATGTCCATTTCTCCTCAATTTCCTTTTTCTGCTTCAGTTCAAGATTTCCACCGTGATAAAAAAGACGGGAACAGAAGAGCAGGCAAATCCAAGGCCACAGCAACCAGTAACCCTATGACGAATTTTAAATAAATAAATTATATATATTTGCAATCAATTAAAAATTAAATTTTATTTTATATTTTTTTTAAAAAATAAAATAGATAATTATTATTAAATTACATTAAAATAATATAATTATTATTAAATTAAACTCATTGGTGAGAAATTAGTGTTGTTAATTTTCTTATCAGAATGAAAATTAATATGGTTAAATAAAAAAAATTAAGTGTGAGAGAAAATCACGTATAATTTTCTACCAAATAATTTAGAATAATTTTCATATATATATATTCTAAATTATTGTCATCATCAGAAAAAATTAATTAATTATTTTTAATGAAAAATTAATTTAATTATTTTTTAATATTGGGAATTTCAATGATGTTCGATTAATACGATTTAATGAATATTAAATATATTGATAGCATATAATCAACTTGATATATACTTAAATAATATATAATTAACTTAATTAATAGATATTTATATTATTCTTTAATTATCACATGTTTAATTATTTAGAAGTTGAGCGTTCAACATCTTCATGCTCCAACTCAGAAAGGAGTATTGGAGATTCTAGACACAATCAACATTTTTTATTTTTTCTATCATAATACTTTTTTTTTTATTTTTATTTTAAACATCAACAAATATTAAAAAATTTAAACGTGATCATAATAAATTCAAATTTTAAAAAATATATTTTTAATTTTCAAAAAATAAAGAATAATAAAATTGATCGAAAAAGATATCTTATTCTTATTATAAGATTGTGTGATCTGCAGAATTTAATAAAAAATATAATTTTTTATTTTAAAAATAATAAAAAAAAAATATTCAATTAAAACATAAAAATGTGATTGAATTTATTTTAATTACTCTTTGGGATGGAGTAAAAGAAGGGAGGAGATTATGTAACGAGAAAAATGATCCAATAACTTTAAAAGAATTAAAGTGATAATAAGAGTAATTTATCTGTCAACTTTTTTATTATCATCTCTAAAAAAAATTAAGTTCTATTTTTTGTAAAATTGTATATTCTTTAATTTTAAATGTTAATAAATATTTTTTTAATTAATTATGAATATTATTTTAGTACATTTTCTCTCTATATACATATTCACAACTCCGGAAAAAATTTGAGCCCCAAATTATTTAGATTCTTTCATTAATAATTATAATAATAAAAGACTTTCTAAGGGATATATAAATGAATAATTAGGAATTTTAAAACCTAATAAAGAAATTTTAGAATATTGATTTTTAACTTTTTATATAAAAACATCAATGGCTGCGGTAATGTAAATTCTTTTCCTATTTCAGAGCACGTGGGATAAGCACGTGCAGCACGTGACTTAATTTTGAAAACTTTTCACTTTTGTTGTCTTTTTGTCCGTTCGGTTCTGAATATGGAAGATAAAAATCTCCGCAGAGGAAGAAGAGCAGGAGAAAACTACAGAAAATGGTAGGACCAGAGAGACCTCTCTTCGTTCTCTTTGGTTCCTCCATTGTTCAGTTTGGTTTCTCCAGTCAAGGATGGGCCGCTATTCTCTCCGATCTTTACTCCCGCAAGGTATTCTATTTCTTCTTCTTCTTCTTTCATTTCTTCCTCTGTAATTCTCTTCGTATTCACTTTCTGATTCTGGTGATTTTAGGATAGAGAATTCACTAAACTTCATAAATATAGATATGTATGTTTAATGTCTTTCAGATTATCATCCACTCTACGTCTTTCATATCATATCAGAATTGAATGAATTGATTCGATTGAAGGTTTTTTTTTTCTTTGAGACAAAAAATTAGATAGGAAGATGATCATCCAGCAGCGATATCATAAAATGAGAAGGTACTGCAAAAATGTAATGTTATCAGGTACGGATAAAGTTTTCTGCGATTGCAATATCCAGTAATTGGAAAAAACTAGTAAAAGACGAAAGGCTTTTAGGCTGAAACTTTATTGTTCTAAACTCAGAAAAATAAGACATGCTAGAAAACATAGAATTAAAAACAAGACGTCAGTATTTCTCCATAAGTATGCTATGAATATTTTTGCTATCAAACTCCAATTCATATGCTATGAATATGAAGATGAAACTCCGCACTTCCTGCAAAAATTACTGGATTCATCCTGTCTCTACATATAATACTTGGATTTGATGTATTTGAGTTCAATTTATGTGTGACTTCAAGTGGCGGTGACCACCATAAACTTTCTGCTGTAACTGTCTCAACTCTTTGCTCCACCCAGTGATGAAGCTTTAGCTAGTTACGCAGGAAAAAAGTGTATATTTTAGTTAAATTTAACTTATTAAATAATTAACACAAATGAGAATATAATAGATAATACACTAATCTTTCTACCATAAATTAGGCAAAAGGGCTATGCTTGCAGTATGATATTTTTGGATTAGCCATTGACCATCAGGCCCACTGCTGTTTTTATAATATAAGCTAATGAAAAAGTTAAAGCGACAGCGCACCCAACCTCTCTGTAAATTGCTCAAGAAAAGAAACTCTTCAATAATAGGACCCACCATGGATCTAATCAAACAAAAGAAAAACTCGCCATAGACTTGTGCTTTCCTAACTTATTGCCATTTATTTTTTACGAAAGGAGAAATGGTTATAGCTTTCGGAGTGGTGGTCTGGTTGCATCTCTTTAATCTTTCTTTGTTAACTTTCAACAACCTTTTTCAGTATTATTCATTTTTGGTTTGTTTTCTTCTGCTTTATGTCACTGTTAACTCTATGTTATAGACTTGAATATCCTAATTGCAGATATTTCAAATTCCTTTTTTTTTGGCCTCCAGTGTAATAGTAATATTATATTTGTGTATTGAAAGAGCTAGTGTCTCGAATATTTGTTTGAGCACTAAAAGGATATATAGATTTAATATTTGCATCACTAATGAGCAAGCATCTCGAATGTGATGTGTGGGAGCAGCTTGTCAAAGTTTTTTTGTCTTCTTCTCCACTCCTGGAGACTGAACTTCAAACTTTGGCTGCTATTCCAGCCTTTAATTGTAGCGAAAAAATTACTCTATATCTATATATACACAAATCTAAGTATAATTCCGAATATCAAATGTAAGAAGTCTAAGAATTGAAGTTAAACTAAATATTTAATGAAGAGAAAATGATTGAATTAAGTTTACATACACGGCCAAAAGATTCTGACCTTAATTGACTGTATTTTGATCAAGTTTCATAAACATCTTGTTACTTGTACGAATTCCTTACTACTCCCGTGACACTCTGATACTTTTTGCAATGTGGTTTAATATATTATAGGCTGATATAGTGTTGCGAGGATATGCTGGTTGGAATTCAAGACTTGCCGTACAGGTTTTAGATCAAGTTTTTCCAAAGGTATCAAGTGTGTCTCACTTTGCTTACCTATATTCAAATATGAAATTAGTGATGTGACAAAACACTTCCTTGGTAAATGATATATTTTGACCTGGTTTTGTTTGGCCGTCTTCTGATATATGGGCACCATTTACTCATTACTTGATCCTGATATTCTGATATTTGTTTCTGAACAAAGGATGCTTCTAGGCAACCTTCATTAGTAATCGTTTATTTTGGCGGGAATGATTCAATTCACCCCCTCCCGTCTGGGCTTGGTCCTCATGTTCCATTGCCAGAATATGTTGATAACATGAGGAAGATTGCCATGCATCTCAAGGTAATCTTTCAAACCTACAAAATCAACTCATCTTTTCCTATGTAAAATATATACTAATAGCTTGGATGTCCTAGTAAATTTGATTCAAAGTACCAGGACTTCCAGTAGCCTTAACTCTATCTGAACTTCTCTGCTATTTTATTGCAATATGATTAAGTGAAGCCTTTTTTCTTGACAGAGCCTTTCCAAGGAGACTCATGTCATCTTTCTTAGTGCTCCTCCTATTAATGAAAAACAAATTAAGGAATCACTGAGGTACGCTGACATGCTTTACTACTAGAACATCCCTCCCATCCCTACCACTTTCTCTTTTTTTTCCACTTCATTTCCACATGATTTAGGCACCCAAACTTAGTTTTAGTAAGATTCCTCACTTTCCTGTGAAACAAGTGGGAAACTTGGAGGTACAGTACGAACAAATGAATCGTGTCGAATATATTCAGAAGCTTGTTTAGAGCTGTGCCAGGAGATTAACGTGAAGGGAGTTGATGTTTGGAGTGCAATCCAGCAGAGGGATGACTGGTTGGAATCCTGCTTTAAGTAAGTCATTTGCTTTTACTTTTTATATAATACGAAATCAGGAAATTTGAGATTGTCTTTTTTGACTGCTGAGCTTAGAAAATTAGTTATTGGCAATACTTTTTACAGAGATGGAATCCATTTTACATCAGAGGGGAGCAAGATAGTGGCAAAAGAAGTATTGAAGACGATCAAAGAGGCTGACTGGAAGCCAAGTCTTTACTGGAAGGAATTGCCCATTGAGTTTCCAGATCATTATAACGTAATACTCGGTCCTGGTGGTGAACCTGTGAACATTTATAACTTGGAATTCAACAGATGTGCAGAATGGGAATAGCCAAATCAAGGTTACTGCATGAAGTAGCTTATGATTTGATGTTGGAATCCTGATTTTCCACTAAATTTTTATTTTCTTACTGGCTTCTTATTTGAAAATTTTTATGAAAATCCACTCTATTAAGATCAGAATTAGAATTTGTGATATTTTTGGTTGTACATTCTATTATAATCGTTTTTGTCTTTTTTGCTTTTTTGTACAGGTATTTATATTTTTCATTACATCATTTATTAATGAGAAAATTAGTAGATTATTCATTTTCCAAAATCATTCTCTGTTTCATTCTCTATTTTCTAATATGGTATCAGAGCAATACTGCTCTTGATTCGCTATCAAATCGCGCTGCGATTTATCTCGCCAAATGGCTAGAGGTGGTGATTCTAGCAACCCCCAATTAGATTCTTCCACCGCTCACAATCCGCAAGCTGATCAAGCTGCAATGAGTGACAACATTCATAACCCCTTCTTCCTCCACAGTGGTGATCATCCGGGATTAATCCTGGTCACCCACGTCTTGAATGGAAACAACTACAACACTTGGAAGCGTGCGATGCGGATTGCGTTGAACGCGAAGAACAAGCTGGGCTTCATAGATGGTTCGGTGCCACAACCCGACAGTAAAGACTCCATGGCAGGGGCATGGTCTCGCTGCAACTCCATTGTGATTTCATGGCTTCTCAATGCAGTCGCGAAGGACATCGGGGATAATCTGCTTTATCTTGAAAATGCTCAAGCTATTTGGTTCGATTTACAGCATAGATTTCAACAAAGCAATGCACCAAGAATATTCCAGTGAAGAAATCCATGAATGCTTTCACGCAAGGCTCCCTCACCGTGAATGCATACTATACCAGAATGAAGACTATGTGGGATGAATTAAAAGCCTATAAGCCCGCACCCGTATGTCATTGTGGTGGAATGAGGGCTTGGAACGATTATCAGGAACAAGAGCAAGTGATGCTCTTTATGATGGGACTCAACGAATCATACGCCGGAATACGCAACTAGATTCTGATGGTGGAATCTTCTCCTCCGATTGCAAAGGCCTTTAGCTTGGTAGTGCAGGAGGAGCGGCATCGCTCCATAGGAATCGAAAGGGCGCCTTTTGGTTCAGAAGCAGCTGTAGGCGCAGGCACTGTTGCCCTAGCACAAGGTGGAAGACGAAGGCCCTTGTGCTCTCATTGTGGGCTCATGGGCCATCTTGTGGACCGTTGTTATAAGCTCCACGGTTACCCATTGGTTACAAGCCCAAATCTAGGAGCCCACTTACTGAAGTTCAAGGTCAATTTGAGGCCCGTGCCACATCCTTTCACAATAGTTCAACTCGACATGGAAATGGGCCTGAAGGGCCTGTAGTCCATTATTTCCCTCAGCCCACTACTGAAACCCATAAGCAGCAGCAGCAACCACAGCCCATTCCCAAATCTTCTCAGGCCCACGTGAAAGGGCACAGCTCGGGGTCTTATTCCTCGGTCACGTCTGTGACTGCCCCTATTTTCACTGCGTCTCCAGCCTCTGACTTCAGCTCTGCCGCTTCCATTGCCGCACTCAACCCATCGCAGATACAGAACATAATAGCTCATCTAAGCGCACGCCTCCATGCTCTGTTCTCTGCCTCTGTCATACTGGCTCCGGAAGTTGTCTCCACCTCTGTCTCCATTGACATCTTCAATCTGCCAAGATCAGGTATACCTCCCTATTGCTTATCTCTTTCTACACGCACACCCATCTCAGCAATGTGGCTTCTTGACACAGGAGCCACACATCACACTTACTGCCTTGAATCCTCCTTTACAACCCTTAAGCATGTTGAACCCCTCCATATTAATTTACCTAATGGTAGTTTCGTGATAGTCAATCAAGTCGGTAGTGTGGTCTTGACAAAATCCATAACCTTATCCGATGTCCTGTATATTCCTGAATTTACTTTTAATCTCATAAGTGTTAGTAGTTTGATCACAACTCATTCCTACACTGTTAATTTTTTCCTTAATTCATGTGTCATTCAGGACCTCACTCGGGAATTGTCGATTGGGAATGGTAGCCGTGTTGGCAATCTTTACTACTTAATTACTGAGAATTTTGCTTGTAATTCAGTTAACTTTAATCATGTTAATGGTAAAAGTCGCATTTGACATTTTAGAATGGGTCATCCATCTCTTGTTAAACTTCAATATTTAAATAAAAAATTACAAGTTTATGATGTTTCAAGAAATGTTCCTTATCATTGTAAAGTTTGTCATCTTGCAAAACAAAAACGTTTACCTTTTATTTTCACAAATAAATTGTCTGATAATCATTTCGATTTAATTCACATTGATATCTGGAGTCTTTTTTTCGTTCCCACTACGGAATGACATAATTATTTTCTCACCATAGTTGATGACTGCACTCAGGCTACACAGGTATACCTTCTTCGAAATAAATCCGATGTTCACACCACATTTTCTTATTTTTACACTTTTATCCTCACATAATATAAAATTCTAATTAAATCAGTGAGGTCTGACAATGCACATGAACTAAGCTTCCAGTCTTTCTTCAAATCCAAATGAATCCTTTCTTTCCATTCCTGTGTTGAAACTCCCCAGCAGAACTCTGTT